ACCCCTGTCAGTTGTTTATTGCTGTCTGTGCCCCCGTTAGGTAGATCCACCCTGTTTGTCCTATTTACCATTATCATTGAAAGTGAAATGAAAAGTAAATCCAAAATTTGGTTATACTTTAAGTAAATATCTTTCTAAATGTCAAATATTGAAAGAAAATAGTATACAAAATCATACACATATACATAAATACCCTTCTATAAAATCAATAAAATAAAAAAGACAACGTTGTAGAAGAAGGGTATTTTTATATGTATGTGATTTTGTATACTATTTTCATTCATTTGACATTTATAAGGATACAGGGCATCTCAATAAATTAGAATATCATCAAAAAGTTAATTTATTTCAGTAATTCAATTAAAAAAGTGAAACCCATATATTATATAGAATTATTACACACAGAGTGATATATTTCAAGCATTTATTTCTTTCAATTTTTTTGATGATTATGGTTTACAGCTAGTGAAAACCCACAATTCAGTATCTTAGAAAACTAGAATATTGTGAAAAAGTTCAATATTATAGACTCATGGTGGTTTATTTACTAAAGCTGGTTCATTCCAAATCTTGTGCATTTCTGCATAGAAAGCAACCACCTTCCAGGTTTTATTGATAAAGCTTATTTGAACAAGCTAAGATTAGAAGCTGATTGGCTACCATGTACAGGTGCACAAGATTCTGAGTGAACCAGCTTTTGCAAATAAACTCTATGGTGCCACACTCTAAGCAGCAAATTAACTCAAAACACCTGTAAAGGTTTCCTGAGCCTTTAAATGGTCTCTCAGTCTGGTTCAGTAGGTTACACAACCATGGGAAAGACTGCTGATTTGACAGCTGTCCAGAAGACAGTAACTCAGAAAATTAGAATATTACATAAGTCCAATAAAAAAAAGATTTCTAATACAGAAATGTTGGCTTACTGAAACGTATGTCCATGTACAGTGTAGTATGCACTCAATACTTGGTCAGGGCTCCTTTTACATGAATTACTGCATCAATGTGGCGAAGCCCAGGTTGCTTTGATGGCGGCCTTCAGCTCATCTGCATTGTTGGGTCTGGTTTCTCTCATCTTCCTGTTGACAATTCCCCACAGATTCTCTATGGGGTTTAAGTCAGGTGAGTTTGCTGGCCAGTCAAGCACAGTGATACCATGATCATTAAAGCAGGTACTGGTACTCTTGGCAGTGTGGGCAGGTGCCACGTTCTGCTGCAAAATGAAATCGGCACCTCCTTAAGGCTGGTCAGCAGAGGGAAGCATGAAGTGCTCTAGAATTTCCTGGTAGAGGGCTGCACTGACTTAGGACTTGATTAAACACAGTGGACCAAGACCAGAAGATGACATGGCCTTGCAAGTCTTCACTAACTGTGGAAACTTCACACTAGACCTCATGCAACTTGGATTCTTTGCCTCTCCAGTCTTCCTCCAGACTCTGGGACCTTGATTCACAAATGAAATGCAAAATGTGCTTTAACCTGAAAAGAGGACTTTGGACCACTGAACAGTCCTTTTTCTCCTTATCCCAGGTAAGACGCTTCTGACATTGTCTCTGGTTCAGGAGTGGCTTGACACAAGGAATATGACAGTTGTAGCCCATGTCATGGATACGTCTGTGTGTGGTGGCTCTTGAAGAACTGACACCAACCGTAGTCCTATCCTTGTGAATCTCCCCCAAATTTTTGAATGGATTTTGCTTCAGAATCCTCTCAAGGCTGTTGTTATCCATGTTGCTTGTGAACCTTTTTCTACCACACTTTTTCCTTCCACTCAACTTTCCATTAATATGCTTGGATACAGCATTCTGTGAACAGCCAGCTTCTTTAGCAATTACCTTTTGTGACTTACCCTCCTTGTGAAGGGTGTCAATGACTGTCTTCTGGACAACTGTCAAGTCAGCAGTCTTCCCCATGCTTGTGTAACCTACTGAACCATACTGAGAGACCATTTAAAGGCTCTGGAAACCTTTACAGGTGTTTTGAGTTAATTAGCTGATTAGAGTATGACACCAGTGAGTCTACAATATCAAATTTTTTAAAATATTCTAATTTTTTGAGATACTGAATTTTGGGTTTAAGCTGTAAGCCATAATATTCAAAATTAAAAGAAAGAAATGCTTGAAATGTATCACTCTATGTGTAATGCATCTATATAATATATGAGTTTCACTTTTTGAACTGAATAAATGAAAAAATAAATAAATTCACTTTTTGATGATATTCTAATTTATTGAGATGAACCTGTACTATATTTTGTATTTACTTAATTTAACTTAGTCGTTTTGTATACACCACGGGTGTCCTGTGAAAGCAGCTTCCCTTTGACTGGTATTCGTCACCTTTTTTCTTTTGTATTAATACATATGCTGCAGGGACCGCACTGACTTAAGTGAGTTGGCATATTTCTACAATTTAAACCATTTTATTTTACCTCTTTATTAGCAATAACAACTGACAGGGGTTCTAATTCTTCTCCACTGTATCCATCCCACCTGATATCACATGAGATAAATAACGCATATTTCGATGAAATACCTCATGCCTTATTTTAGTAGTGGTTTTTTGTGAATACCAAAAAAACTTTTTGAAAAACACTATGAGGTATTTTACCGCACATTTTGAAGAGTAAAATACTTCTTTGTGAATGGAGTCCTTTATCTCTTGTAGCCACCCTACAATGGGCAGGTGTGTCTCTTTACATTTATCCAGCATGACTGTAGTCAATCAATTCCACTTTATACAGTAGTCTGTACTTCTTCAGTCCCCTCTAGTCCAGACTAGCTTTCAGTTCTCCATTCTGTCAGTAGATGGCACTGCCATCTCTGGAATTAGAGTGAGGATTTACAGTGAGCTGGGGCTATGAATCCTCATATCCTTTTACAGCCAACTACTTGGAGTATCTTTGCCAGTGGAGCAATATGGGAAAGGGTATGAATATTTGCGGTGAGTTGGAGCAAGGTCTCCTTCCCCCCTGGTCTGTATCCTGGGGAGGATGCTTGTGATAGGAGCTGCTTTTTGGGCCTACTTACCTGAAGAGGCCTTTATGTATCTGCATAGTTGCCAACTGTCACGGATTGCCCAGGACAGTCCCAGATTTTAAAGCCCTGTCACGGCCGGTCTTCGTCCCGGACTTCATACCGAAAATAGAAAATATTCCCGGATTGTGTGTCCCCTGTCCCGGGTGGCTGGCACCACAATTCTTGTGCTTCTGTACAGAGAGATGTGAGGACAAATCACTCCTCCACCCCTCTCCTTCCTCCCCCAGCAGCTCTGTCCAGGCACTCTGATTCAATAGGAAGAAGGGTCAGCCACACACTGGAGGAAAGTTGAATATAGTGTGTATTTATTGATCCATAGGACACACAAAACACCAGGACATGAATACAGGAATTGTTAACGCGTTTCACACGATCTCGTGCTTAATCATAACAAAGAAAACAACAAAAGTGCTGTCTTATATAGGTATTAGTTAATAAAGAACACCTGTCCTAATCAGCACTCCTGAATTCTGAGGGTACGTCTACTAATACATTGTAACAAGACATATAAAACCATTGTATCAAAAGTAGTAATATCTGTGTTTGTTATTCTATTTTTCATTTATAATTTTTTCATAATTATTTTTTCACAATTATTTTTATCCATTTTTCTTTTTCTCTTTCTTTGTTTATCTTTTTATTTTACTTCACTTTTTTCTTTTCTTCCTTTCTTGTTGTTCTTTGAGATCACTACTTTTGATGCAATGGTTTTATATGTCTTGTTACAATGTATTAGTAGGCGTACCCTTGGGATTCAGGAGTGCTGATTAGGACAGGTGTTCTTTATTAACTAATACCTATATAAGACAGCACTGTTGTTTTCTTTGTTATGATTAAGCACGAGATTGTGTGAAACGCGTTAACTAGTCCTGTATTCATGTCCTGGTGTTTTGTGTGTCCTATGGATCAATAAATAAACACTATATTCATCTATCCTCCGGTGTGCGGCTGACCCTTCTTCCTATTGCATCGTGTGGTGGCGAGCCAGAGCCTGCACCTGTTGTGGATTGGTCTGGATTGTTTGCCTGAGCGGTATACCTTTTGTTCTTTGGATTCAGGCACTCTGATTGACGACTCCCTGTGAGGCTTGGCAGCATGAGTGGGTGGGAAGGGGTGTGTCCAGCCTCTCAGATAATCGCGCCCGGCCCCTCCAATGAAGGTAATTGCTGTGGTGGTGGGACTTATGTAGTGTATGTATATGTAGCCTGTGTGAATGTAGCATATGTGTATGTAGCATGTGTGAATGTAGTAAGTGTGTATGCAGGGTTGCCAACTGTTTGTATGTTTAGGGACAGTTTGTAAATTTCAGGCGCCATGTCCACAGTCTCTGACCATCCCTTGCACCATGTACCCAGTCTCTGACCATACCTTGTGCTATGTCTGCAGTCTGACCATCCCTTGTGCCATGTCTGCAGTCTGACCATCTCTTGTGCCAGGTACGCAGTCTCTGACCATCCCTTGTGCCATGTCCACAGTCTCTGTGCATCCCTTGTGTCATGTACACAGTCTCTGACCATCCCTTGCACATGTACCCAGTCTCTGACCATCCCTTGTGCCATGTCTGCAGTCTGACCATCTCTTGTGCCAGGTACGCAGTCTCTGACCATCCCTTGTGCCATGTCTGCAATTTCTGACCATCCCTTGTGACATGTCTGCAGTCTCTGACCATCTCTTGTGCCAGGTACACAGTCTCTGACCAGCCCTTGCACCATGTACCCAGTCTCTGACCATCCCTTGTGCCATGTCTGCAGTCTGACCATCTCTTGTGCCAGGTACGCAGTCTCTGACCATCCCTTGTGCCATGTCTGCAATTTCTGACCATCCCTTGTGACATGTCTGCAGTCTCTGACCATCTCTTGTGCCAGGTACGCAGTCTCTGACCAGCCCTTGTGCCACATCTGCAGTCTCTGACCATCTCTTGAGCCAGGTATGCAGTCTCTGACCATCTCCTGTACTACACCTGCAGTCTCTGACCATCCCATGTATGCAGTCTCTGACCATCTCCTTTACTATGCCTGCAGTCTCTGACCAACTCCTGTACTATGTCTGCAGTCTCTGACCATAGTCCTGTACAATGCCTGAAGTCTCTGACCAACTCCTTTACTATGCCTGCAGTCCCTGACCAACTCCTGTACTACTCCTGCAGTCTCTGACCATAGTCTTGTACTACACCTGCAATCCCTGACCAACTCCTGTATTACACCTGCAGTCCCTGACCAACTCCTATACTATGCATGCAGTCCCTGACCATAGTCCTGTCCTACACCTGCAGTCCCTGACCATAGTCCTGTACTACGCCTGCAGTCCCTGACCAACTCCTGTACTACTCCTGCAGTCCCTGACCAATTCCTGTACTACACCTGGAGTCTCAGACCATAGTCCTGTACTACGCCTGCAGTCTCAGACCAACACCTGTACTAATAACGCCTGCAGTCTCAGAACATAGTCCTGTATTAACTGCAGTAACCTCTAGAAACCAATAAGTGAGTGGTAATGATGTGCTGTAACCTCTAGTAACCAATCAATGAGTGTGAACCAGTTCTTTATGTTTACATTAAGTGATTTTAGATAAGTCTATGATTGTATTTGTTTTTTGGGATGTTGGGTGGAGAGAAAATTGCATGGGGGGGAGGGAGCCCAAGAGAATCTTGGACTCTGTTTAACCACACCCCCTTTAAGCCATTCCCAATATTTAGTGTAATATAAACCACACCCATTTATGGCAGGGCACACTTCCTGCACTGCCACTGGCTTTTTCTTATTAGGTCACACCCATTAATGAATGCCCCACCCCTAATTAACATACTGCTCTGCCTACACTGTCTTTCTGGTCATACAGGACAAAAAAGTGTCCCTAAAATTTTTTTTTAAATGTTGGCTACTATGTGACTGTTTGGAGCTGTCTCCATCTGGATACAGGATGGAGTCCTGGAGGGACTAGTTGACTCTTCAGGAGAAAAGTGGACACAGCATGGAGTTCCAGAGGAGCTGGTAGACTCTTCTGGAGAAAGATTGTAGCTACCCACATTGTCTGCTAAAGGTTGCTAGAAGACAGGAAAATTAAAGATGACCCAACTACAGTAAATGCACATCTCCACCGCACTAGTAGCACTGTAAAATAAACTCCACATATCACAAGTTAACAAGTGCAAACAAAATACTTTTCTTGTAATGTGCAAACAAAAATTTGCAAAAAAAAGTGTAACAAATGTCCATAAGTGTCCATACAAAAAACTATGAGTAGTTGCTGCTTTCCTTCCTGGAGTGTCTATCACACACCGTATGTGCTCAGGCAGTGCCTCTCCCCTTGGAATAAAACTCAGACAATGGATATGCCAACCATTTTCATGACTGGCATATCTCGCTTACAGAACTCCACCATAAACTCCAGGCATCATGTCAATAACTCACTTCTCTGTCTGATCCATTACATGTGGAAAAGAAGCTGATAATCTCCAATGGTATAGTAACCAACTCAATCAATATTTATTGGTTAAAAAGACACCTGCAAAATATCAATTACCATATTTTTCACTCCATAAGACGCACTTTTTTCCCCCCAAAGAAGGGGGGAAATGTCAGTGCGTCTTCTGGAGCGAATATGGAGTGGCCAGTCCGGTATTCCCACCGTGTCAGAATACCAGGCCGGCTCTTCTCTGCAGTAGAACCTTACCTGCTCCTTGGTCCAGGGCTGTACAGTCTTCCTGCACCGGTATCTTTAGTGTGGGCTATCGGCTGTGACAGCCGGGTGCCCAGTGCGCATGTTCGAGAAGTGCAGCGCTTTGTGAATGGTACAGTGTCTTCTGGGACACATGACAGGTCCCAGAAGATGCTGGACCAATCACAAAGTGCAGCGCTTCTCGCGCATGCGCAATGGGCACCCCCCTATCAGCCAGGTGCCCACACTAAAGGGAGGACAACTGTCAAATTCAGGTACTCGCTCCCCCTCCCTCCCCAAAGGTCTGCAGTCTCTTAGTCATCCTCTATACTGTCTGCATTCTCTGGTCATCCCCTGTACTGTCCGCAGTCTCTGATCATCCCCTGTACTGTTCGCAGTCTCTGGTCATCCCCTGTACTGTCCGCAGTCTCTTGGTCATCCCCTGTACTGTCCGCAGTCTCTTGGTCATCCCCTGTACTGTCCGCAGTCTCTTGGTCATCCCCTGTACTGTCCGCAGTCTCTGGTCATCCCCTGTACTGTCCGCATTCTCTGGTCCTCCCCTGTACTGTCCACAGTCTCTGGTCATCCCCTGTACTGTCCGCAGTCTCTGGTCATCCCCTGTACTGTGTCCGCAGTCTCATGGTCATCCCCTGTACTGTCTGCAGTCTCTGGTCATCTCCTGTAGTACGTTCACAGTCTCTTGGTCATCCCCTGTACTGTGTCCGCAGTCTCTTGGTCATCCCCTATACTGTCCGCAGTCTCTGGTCATCTCCTGTACTATGTCCGCAGTCTCTGGTCATCTCCTGTACTGTGTCCACAGTCTCTGGTCATCTCCTGTACTATGACCGCAGTCTCTGGTCATCTCCTGTACTGTGTCCGCAGTCTCTGGTCATCTCCTGTAATGTCTGCAGTCTCTGGTCATCTCCTGTAGTACGTTCACAGTCTCTTGGTCATCCCCTGTACTGTGTCCGCAGTCTCTTGGTCATCCCCTATACTGTCCGCAGTCTCTGGTCATCTCCTGTAGTACGTTCACAGTCTCTTGGTCATCCCCTGTACTGTCCGCAGTCTCTGATCATCCCCTGTACTGTCCGCAGTCTCTGGTCATCCCCTGTACTGTCCGCAGTCTCTTGGTCATCCCCTGTACTGTCCGCAGTCTCTTGGTCATCCCCTGTACTGTCCGCAGTCTCTGGTCATCCCCTGTACTGTCCGCATTCTCTGGTCATCCCCTGTACTGTCCACAGTCTCTGGTCATCCCCTGTACTGTCCGCAGTCTCTGGTCATCCCCTGTACTGTGTCCGCAGTCTCTTGGTCATCCCCTGTACTGTCTGCAGTCTCTGGTCATCTCCTGTAGTACGTTCACAGTCTCTTGGTCATCCCCTGTACTGTGTCCGCAGTCTCTTGGTCATCCCCTATACTGTCCGCAGTCTCTGGTCATCTCCTGTACTATGTCCGCAGTCTCTGGTCATCTCCTGTACTGTGTCCACAGTCTCTGGTCATCTCCTGTACTATGACCGCAGTCTCTGGTCATCTCCTGTACTGTGTCCGCAGTCTCTGGTCATCTCCTGTAATGTCTGCAGTCTCTGGTCATCTCCTGTAGTACGTTCACAGTCTCTTGGTCATCCCCTGTACTGTGTCCGCAGTCTCTTGGTCATCCCCTATACTGTCCGCAGTCTCTGGTCATCTGTACTATGTCCGCAGTCTCTGGTCATCTCCTTTACTATTGTGAGATGGGGAAACAGCTCTCATTGTTTAAATACTGCTTGTGTGGAGTAAATTAAATGTTTTGACTGACATTCTGCAGTTTAGCCACAAGATGCCACTGTTTTTCTAACACAGCCTCAGACTGCATAGAGATTTCTATATTCATGAAGAGGTGGAGTTTTCACACAGAGGAGAGAGAGCAGCCATGTTCTGGAGAATGGTGAATGAGTGGGCCGTGTGAGCTGGAGAATCTGATGACATCCAGGTGTGAGAGCACCCCTCCATAACCAGAGCTGCAGCTAAGTGAAGCTGATGAGATTGCTGCCAGGAAACTGATGAGATTGCTACCAGGAATGCTGATGAGAGCAGAGGAACTAAGCAACATATATGGCGAGACCGCATGCTTGTTGGAGAGACATTTGTTCTGTTCAGAGTCACCAGCGGATGAAAAGTAGACCTGGGTCGGTAAGATCGTGCACGCACCTCATTTCAGTGTTGGCGCCTATAGACTAAGTCCAGGCCTATAGTTAGTTAGTTAGGGTCTCTGTTTGTGTCAGGCCACAAGTGTTGTTACTGAACATTGGAAGGACTCCACAACTTAAAGTGACATTTCACATTGGAGAGCTGATAAAATCCCACAAACTCAAGCCAGACTGGCGTTTTGCTCAGAAAGAATACTCAGGCACGTGCTACAGGACCAGTTATGGGAGGGGGAATACTGTAGATTTGTGTAAGATTGTAAGCTGTTGTGCTGCACCGCAGGCTAGCCCATACCATACACCCATACACTGATTCCTGCTCTTTTAGGGTAATAACAGGTAAGGTGTGGCAGCTTATTTGTGCCCGCCAGTAGGTAAATTACTTCACTTTCTACCTTCATCATCAGAAGGTGCCGTGCTGTGCAGCACAAGGGTCTCAGCCTTTGGGCTGGGTGTATGTAAATTTATTGTATGTTTCCAGTATTTGTGGTTGTGTTTACTTGCCACATCTAAGTAAAATTCTGTTGTGGCAAAAGCTGGTTTTGGGGTTGCTTTCCTCGTTTGTGACTTCACTGTATCCTGGGGAGCCCACCCCGGTACACAGCTTACACTATGACCGCAGTCTCTGGTCATCTCCTGTACTGTGTCCGAAGTCTCTGGTCATCTCCTGTACTATGTCCGCAGTCTCTGGTCATCTCCTGTATTATGTCCGCAGTCTCTGGTCATCTCCTGTATTATGTCCGCAGTCTCTGGTCATCTCCTGTACTATGTCTGCAGTCTCTGGTCATCTTCTGTACTGTGTCCGCAGTCTCTGGTCATCTCCTGTACTGTGTCCGCAGTCCCTGGTCATCTCCTGTACTATGTCTGCAGTCTCTGGTCATTTCCTGTACTGTGTCTGCAGTCTATTGGTTCAGAATATTTTTTTTCTTGTTTTCCGCCTCTAAAACCTAGGTACATCTTATGGTCAGGTGCGTCTTATGGAGCAAAAAATACGGTAACCACTTTCCTCCAGAGGATTTACTCCCCTTCCTGACCAGGCCATTTTTTGCGTTACTGCGCTGCGTTACTTTAATTGACAATTGCGCAGTCATGCTATGCTGCACCCAATTTACGTTGTTTCCCATGAATTTAGCTTTCTTTCAGTGGTATTTGATCGCCTGTGCGTTTTTTAATTTTTTGCACTATAGAAAAAAAAAAGACCGACAATTTTGAGAAAAAAAAAACCCAATATTTTTGATTTTTGCTATTAAACATGTTCGATAAAAAAATAAAAAAATCTAATTTCATCATAAATTTATGCCAAAATGTATTCTGCTGCATGTCTTTGCTAAAAAAAAAATCCCAATATGTGTAAATTAATTGGTTTATGTGAACTCTATAGCATTAACAAATGGCAGTATGGATACTGGAATTTGTTTTATTTTTTTTACTAGTAATGACGGCGATCAGCGACTTATAGCGGGATTGCGGGACAGCGGTGGACATTTTGACACTGGGGGGAACTAACTTGGTGTCACTGACATCCCCAGTGACACCAATACAGTGATCAGTACTAAAAAAAGCACTGACACTGTACTAATGGTACTGGGCAGGAAGGGGTTAACATGAGGAGCGATCAAAGGGTTAACTGTGTGCTGTTTTACATAGTGCTGTGTCCATGTGCTTCACTGTAAGCACACTGCTTTGCATGGCTGTGCTGTGCACAGCCATGCAAAGCAGTGTGCATGAGCTGACCAAGAGGAGAACTGTTTTGTTTACAAACAGTTCTTCTCCCTGTTGGAAATGCTCAGCAATCACTGGGCGCGGCGAGTAATCACCAGCAGGGACCCGGTAATTGACAGCCGCGTGTGATTTTGCGCACCCGTGCCACCTGGTAGCAGTATTTCTGCTATAGGGCGGTCGGGAAGCGGTTTAAAAACAGCTCATCTCATGGCGTTTCAATATGGTGTGCATGTTTAAAGTTCTCACCACCTTCGGAACAATCAGGCACAAATGCTACATCACTTCCGATTTCGGGATAGACACCACTTACGGTCGTCGTCTGCGTTTCCACATTCTGATGTGTTTCATCACTTGCGCCAGAGCTTGGTTACGCGGTTACTGGAAGTGGCATCTATTGTGGAACTGGAAGTGATGTGGCATATTTGCCCGATTGTTCCAAGGGTGGTAAGAACTTTGAACATGCACACCATATTGTAACATCATGAGATGAGCTGTTTTTAGTTGATATTTTGTAGTGGCTTTTTAACAAATAAATTTTGATTGAGTCGGTTACTAAACCATTGGAGGTTATCTTTTTCTTTTCCAAATGTAACGGGACGGAGAAAGTAGGTCGGAGAAAGTAATTGACATGATGCCTGGAGTTTATGGTGGCATTCTGTAAGCGAGATGTGCTGGTCATGAGAATGGTTGGCATATCTATTCTCTGAGTTTTATTCCAAGGGGAGAGGCACTGCATGAACATATATGTTGTGTGGGGGACGCTCCAGGAAGGAAAACAGCAACTATTTATAGTTTTTTGTATGTCCACTTGTTGACTTTTGTTACACATCTTTTGCAAATTTTTATTTGCACATAAGAAAAGTATTTTGTTTGCACTTTATGTTAAATTGTGATATGTGAAGTTTATTTCACAGAGCTACCAGTGAGGTGGAGATGTGCATTAAGTTGGGTCATCTTTAATTCACTTGTTGGTGATATTTTAGTTTAATATTGAGTAACAGCAGTGATTAAGTTTACATAGGCACATTTATATATATATATAAAAATTATTTTATTTATATTGGTATTGGTGCGGTGTTGTTTTGGATTATTAGAGGACTGGGAAGACTAGCACAGGGAAGTTCCGCTTTAACACATCCATCCTTTCCCCTCCTCCTACACTTTTGGAGGTTTGTTTTTTTGTTTTTTTTTTGGGGGGGCGGAAACAGGTACCTAGTTTTAGCAGGCAGTTGCTCACCCTTTTGCAGTTGTAGAGAGACACTGCTAGGAGACATTGTTAGAGGAATCTTTGCTGCTACCACCTCAGTTTATCTATGGCCTGACATCACCATCCTTTATCACTCTTCATCATTAAAGGGCCCCAAATTGCTAGTAGAAGTCAACATTCTTAAACTTGGATTGGTTCTACCCAAGATCATTGATAATTTATCATATACTTAAAGAGGCCCCTATACTAAATACTTGTCAAAAGGTATTAATTTGCCCCTTTACAGTATGCTAGTGCTCCAGAGGGAGCTGATGGGTGCATGCAGGTTACAACTAGTGTTGCACCCTCACAAGGCACCATTTATGCACATTGGTTATATTCAGTCGCTGATATGATTCATGTAGTGTTACCCATCTCTTATTATTACTGTTATAGTTCCTGTGTGTATTGCTGTAACCAGTTGTAAACGCCTAAAAAGCAACTTGAGCCATTTTTCAAAGGTATTCAGTACAATTGTGGCTATTCAATTATTATG